TTATTGACTTGAGCCTTTTACAGCTCATCGTATTAATATGGATTTACTTTATATACCTCATTTTTATACTTTTCTACTGGATGGTTAAGACCAAGATATAGCAAGACCTATGAGTATGACCATTTTTGAGAACCCTCAAGCATTTTGCCAGATTGCTCCTGAAGTACTGTATTATTGACAGCCTCACCAATAGCCTCGTTGCCACTTTTCCCGTATCTATACCAATACGCATTATTAAACTTAATCATCTGAAAGAGTTCTATATGACTCTGAATTTTGTTTCTTAATGAATAAGTTTTCTATTCTTTCTTTTTCTTTTGGTTTCAGGAATCGAACTCAGGACCTTGCACTTGCCAGGCAGGTGCTTGTGCCACTGAGCTATATCCCCAGCCTTAATGAATATCTTAAATAATATTTTTGCCTGTTTGAATTATTTCTTTGGCGAATTGTTTGTTTGTTTGTTTATATTTAAGGAGGTCCCACTATGTTGACTAGGCAGTGATCCCTCTGTCTTAGCTTCCTGAGTATGCCTAGTTTTTTAGATTATTGGTATTCTTTAAATATTTCTCTCAAGAACATAGTTATTATGGCATACACTACAAATATTTTTCCTAGTTTATGGTTTCTTTCACATTTGTCCTTAGTGGTTTTGTTTTACTTTATGGTGAACTATTCACTTTTGAATAGACTGCATATTTTAGAGAAACTTTTGCAGCAAGTACAGAGCGTTCCCACAGCCCAGCCTCCACCACGCCTTCTCTCCACCCACATCCCGCTGCCGACAGTTCCCGCTAGTGTGTACACTGGTCATAGGTGCTCGCCCTCTAGCACGTGATCACTAGCGACGTCCTCAGCTCAGGCCAGGGTTCACACAATAACGCTGTGTCTCCGCAGTGGCAGCACCGCCCGGAGCAGTCACGCTGCCACAGAGGTCTCCTGTGCTCACATACTGATCTTTTCTCTTCCTCCGATCTCGGACAACTTCTTACTTTCTCTACCCTTGAACCTTCTGCAGTGTCCTGCAGTTGGTATCACAGCAGGTGGCTTTCCAGACTGGCTTCTTGGTAGTTGGCAATAGGCACTTCCCGTTCCTCCATGTCTCTTCACAGCTTCAGAGTTCATTCTTTTTTGCTGTTGAATAATATTTTATCGTATGAACGCACCACAACATATCCATTCACCTACTAAGGGACATCTTGGTTGTTCCAACCACTAGCAATTATGTGTAAAGCTGCTGTAAACATCTGTGTGCAGGCTTTTGTGTAAACATGTACACTTTTAGTTCATTTGGGTAACTACCTAGAAGTACAGTTGTTTGATTTTTTTTTTTAATGTATTTAGTGCTGGGTTTACAGGGTCTCCCTACACAGATTGGACTCAGAGAGATCCTCCTGTTTTTCAGCCTCCCAAACACCAGAGTAAGGCTGCCATTACTCTGGTGATAAATCAGAGTAATGAGACCTTGCAGGCTAGTCCAAGGTTTAAGACTCACGTTCAAAGGTCAATTTTGTATCACAACATTTTCTTTAAATAAGAAAATGAAATGGCTTCTACAATGCCCAAGACCCAAAGAATGTAGGATTGTAAGTGCATGCCACCATGCCCAGTCTCATTCGCCACAGTCTCAGTGCACCCCAGGGGCACGCTGAGGCACAGCAGGCCTGGATTCCCTGGCCCCTGCGTCTGCCTAAACAGGCACTTTAATCCACTGAGCCATCTGGCTGGCCCTAGTTGTTCGATCTTACAGTAGGCCTATGTTTAGCTTTGTAAGAAACTACCAGTCTGCCAAAATGACTATGGTATTTTGCATTCCCACAGCAGTGAATAAGCATCCTCGTTGTCCTACCTTCTTGGTATTTGCTAATGTTTTGGGTTTTAGGCACTGTCGTAGCCATTTCATTTCATTATTCTTTTTAAAATTCACTTTGTCTGTAAGGTGTCTGGTTATTTAAATGTTACAATTAGCCAATATGTTGAGTAACTTATCATGTTAATTTGCCATTTGTATATTTCCCTTAGTAAGGTATCTGTTCCTACTTCTGACCATTGTGTTTTCATATTGAGTTGTAAGAGTTCATTGCATATTTTTCTAAGTCCTTTATCAAAAGTATATAATTTTTATAGAGTAAAACTATTTAATTTTAGTCTTCTACCTTTTGGTATTAGTTTTTGAAAAGCCTTTTTACCCTCAGCTTATTAACATTGTTTTATTTTTCTAGTTTTATGGTTTAATTTTGGGATAATTTATAGCTCTAATCTTGATGTTTTGGTTAGTGATGATTTCATTTCTCCTTCATTTAAATCCACTTAGACATAATCGCTTTGCCTGCTTTTGACAACCGTGCCATGGAAAACTGGGGACTTCTTGTATTTGATGAATCATTGCTGTTGCTGCAGCCAAGCGACCACCTGACTGATAAAAAGACTCTGATCTCCTACATTGTCTCCCATGAGATTGGACACCAGGCATGTAGTAAAATATTCTCATACTTCTCATTTGCCAGCTCCTTGGCCCAAAACAGGAATAAAATAAAACCCCCTGCCACAAACCAAATTTAAGCAAGGAAAAACAGCATTTCTTGAAAAATATGACATTGATGAAAAGCAAGAAAGGATCTGTGTAATGAGATTCTGGCCAGATTTGAGTTACTGGTGATGAACCAGAGTAATGAGGCCTCGCAGGCTGGTCCAAGATTGAAAACTCACGTCCAAGGATCAATTTTGGGTTTATTTTATTTATTTTAGGGAAGGGTCTACAGGGCATTCAGGGTCTCACCATTAGACTGGACTCATAGTGATCCACCTGTTTACACCCTCCTAAGAGCTGGGATTACAGGCGCATGCCACCACACTCAGTCTCAATTGCTGTCTCAGCATGCTCCAGGGGTGGGGCTGGCATGGCAGGCCCTGGGATCCAACCCCTGGCCCCTGCGCCTGCTTGCAGGCACTTTAATCTGCTGAGCTATTTGGCCAGCCCTCAAGGATCAGTTTTGTTTCACAACACATTCTTAAAGAAACATAAACCATGCAGAGCTGTGTCTGTTTTATCATTCCACCTTAAAACAAGGGGTATTTGAAAGTTCACTGCAAGATACACTTCATCAGTATATTGTCATAAACTTTTATTTTTACTTTGAAGAAAGACTAAGTGGGTACAGGCAGCATAGTAATAAGGGGAAAAGTAATTAATTTTCAAGCTGCATCAGCAAAGCACTGTAAATAAAAATTCAGTTCATCAGATCTTGGGGCTTTCATCTTGTGATTTTAGAAAGTCAGCTATTTGATTTGATGAAGATTCTCACATGTGCACTTTAATTTCAATTCTACATACACACATTTTTCAAAAATCTTCCACACTACGGAAAGGCTACCTTCTTAAGTTCCAGGATTGAGTCACACCCGGAGCACAGTCAACACAAGTCAACACATTTTCACAAGTGTTCATCAGTCACCCCAAGAAATTATTATTTTTTATAACCTTAATGACATACTGTTTTGGAACACAGGCTGCTAAAAGCTGTTGTAAGAATTGGATTAAATAGTAGGACTTGGACTTGTTGATTTTGGAAATCATTGTGTTTTTCTTTTCTAATTCTGTTCAAACTACATTTTTTTCTGTTCAACTGAAATAGAAAATAATTGTATATGGACCATGTTGAAGAACATACAATTGTTAGTGATTTGTGTATGATACAGATTAAATCAGGCTCTTATAATGAGTGCTTACAATAAAATTCTGTTGGGAATATAAGGTGACAGAATTAATATGTGATAAGTCAGCATTAGGACTCTGATTTACTTAACAGAACGTGACTTTTGGACAAAGTAAGTAACAAGTTTAAAAGATGCCACTGTAGCTTATTTTATGTTTGAACATCACATTTTTTTGAATATTATATTTCAAATGAGAAATTGAATTCACTGATTGGACGTGAAATAATTATTTCAGAGAAACTCATGACTATCTCTTTGTGTTGCAACAATGAGCTGCTTTTTGGACTCCTATTTTCAAGCTTTATGACTGATGACAAGTAAAGTTGAATCATGTCTTTTGACCTTATGTTCATTTTGCATACAAGTATGATAAATACCTAAATTCAAGAAAACTCTTCCTTCCCTCCCATTTCTCAAAGTGGTTTGGAAACTTGGTTACCATGAATTGGTGGAACAATATCTGGCTCAATGAGGGTTTTGCATCTTATTTTGAGTTTGGAGTCATTAACTACTTCAATCCTAAACTCCCAAGAGTAAGTATGCTTGTTAAATCTATTTATTTTTAATTTTCCCATTTATATAAGTAATGTATATTCATTGTTGAAAGTACATAAACTTCAAGGAGTATTAATTATTGATATTAATATTGATATACTAGAGTTAACCATAATATTTTTCTAATGTTTTTAGTCCTGGCATTATAACTATTACAAATACTTTTGAAAATGAGAATTACATAAAAATTTCTATTTTTTCATATTTCATAATATATCACAAGCGTTTCTGCTCATTAAATTCTTTTTAAAAACGAGGTTTTTAATGCTTGCCCAGTATATTGTCACATTGTTTTATAAAATGTTCACATATAATCTTTTGAATTATTTTAATTGTATTTATTTCCATTTATTTTTACATAAATTCTAAAGCAATTGCTATCTTTAGCCTCTGGATTTAATGGCAAATAATATGTTACTTTCAGTGATTCCTTAAATGTTTTTGCTGATATTGTTTTGCTTATCAGAGTGAAAAGTAGTGTGTGTCAAAAAATAAATTCAAGTTCAGATATCACAATCAGATATCAAACTCTGATCATTTCAACTATAGCTTATGTTTCTAATATTTAGTTTATGTAAAGTCATTAGGTAGCACTTTCAGAATGACATGACACTACAAGTTGATTTGATTTTAGATAAGTAAATGTTAAGATTTAAGTTATCTTTGATGTGGTCCTCACTTCTTTATAAAGCAAAATTGTCTCTCTCTTCTTGAGCAATTTGGAGCTTATTAATGTTTGAAATGCTGATCTCTACTGATCAGATCCAAGATGAGGCATGTCCTTTCTGTCATCATCCCTCAGCTCCATGCAGGACTGGCCCAGGATGCCGTTCAAATGGGAAAGCCTGCAGACACCCAAGTCCCTTGCATGAGCAAAGTGTGCTCCACGCAGATTGCCTGTGCAAATTCTCCTGTATGCTTTTAGTCACCGCTAGATGAAGCTGTATGCATATTTCTTTTATGAAATAGAACCACATATTGTAAATGCCATCTCTCAATATTTTCAAAAGCATTTTGTTGGATTCCAAATTAACTGTGGGTTGAAAGTTGATAATGAAAAAAGTTCCATTACCATAAAAAATGAAATTCACAGTATTTTCTTAATTGAATAGACCATGTTATTCACATGAATTTCAGTTACTTCTTCTACAACTAACATGGCTAAGTTATTATCAGAACTTGCAAACACTTGATGAAAACAATTATTGATTTTTTTTAAAGCTAAAAATTATGACATTGGTCTCTTATGTATCATTTAGTTATTTCTTTTTGCCATTGGTTTCTTTTTTTAAATTTTTTTTATATTTATTTACTAGTGTGGAAAAAACATTCTAATGAAAATCAAGTTTAACATGTCAGTTTTGAAAGTAGTATTTGGGAGAGTTGTTGGGTTTTGTTTGTTTTGCATCTATAGCACTGGTTACTTGAACAAATAAATAAAGCTTTTGTAGTTACTTCCTTTATAAAAAAATAAAGAATATGAAATAGCAATAGAAAAAAAAAGCATTAGAAACGATACAAAATTTTGCTAAACAAAGTAGGAATTCGATAATTGTTACCATGTTGCACGATGTTATCTATCTTCCTTCCTTCCTTCCTTCCTTCCTTCCTTCCTTCCTTCCTTCCTTCCTTCCTTCCTTCCTTCCTTCCTTCCTCCCTCCCTTTCTTGAATTTAGGACGGGATCTACAAGGTCTCAGTACGTAGACCAGACTCCTAGTGATTCTCCTGTTTTCAGCCTCCCAAATGCTGGGATTACAGGCCTGTGCCACACCCAGTCTCAATTGCTACCTCACTGAGCCCAGGGGTGGGGCCAGCACAGCAGGCTGGGGATCCAACCCTGGCTGCTGCACTCTGCCTAAGCAAGTGCTTTAGTCTGCTGAGCTATCTGGCCAGCCCCTGTCATTGGTTGCCTAATCATCTTTTTTAGAGTCAACATTATTCAGTCACTTGTGAAGTTGAGTATCAAAAGACTGTCAGATCCTAGAGCTTCAGGAAATTATCAAGAGTTAATATTTAAAAAGTTTCAAAAAAAAAAAAAAAAAAGAAAGAAAAGAAAAAAGAAAAAGTTTCAAGCCAGGTGTGGTTGCCCGTGCCAGCACTTGGGAGACCGAGGCAGGAGGATTGTTGTGAGTTCAAGACCAGCCTGGGCTACAAAGAGAGCTCAAGACCAGCCTGAACTGTAGAGTGAGACCCTGTCTGAAAAGAAAAGAAAAAAAAAAAATGTGTCAGGCCTTATTTTAATGTGCTCTGGAGACCAAACACTTTGATTTCCTTTAATTGCAATTTAGTATGGAAATCAGAGAAGCAGATGTAGGAGTAGATTTTTATTTTCCTCTTGCCTGGTCCAATTTCAGTTGATAGTCAATGAATCAGAATGTGAATGAGTTGGGGTCAAAGCTGCGGAACATCACGGGCAGAGGGCGCGTTGGCTCCAGAAGCTCCAGTTCTCACACTGAGACTCTGTGACGTCTCTCTGTCTCTCGTTCTGCCAGATCCAAGGAAGTAGCAGATTGGGTGACTCAGATCTCACCCTGTCCTCACAGGTTGAGGCACACAGAGGGACACCTCTGAGCTGAACTGGATTTCCTGCAGGCTTTCAAAAGACTGTCAACTCTTCACTTTTGTAGCATGTACCATTAACTGAGCATTTGTTATAGAGTATTACGTACATTATCTCCTTTGGTCTTCAGAACTTTGAAGAAATGCTGAGGAGGAGGAGGAAGAGTGGCAGTAGGAGGAGCAGATTCTATTTGTTAAACATTATGCCAAGAATATATGTAAATTAACAGTACTCATGGTATTCCAGTGAGGACAGTGATGGTCTCACCATCTTCAGATAGTGATACTAAATTTCTGAAGTAAAGTTCACTGACTTGTATGAATCACATAACTCCTAAGAGGCTGAGCTAGGCATCTTGATTCCAAATCTTGTGGGTTTGGTCACCTTGATATTCTACCCAAATTTATGATGACCAAGAGTTACATTTCTAAGGATAGCAATAAATTTAATAGAAATGGTCTTCTCTGAGATATCGTAGTTTGCAAGAAGAAGTACTGGTTGTACCACTCAATTTGACCTAATCCCTATATTCAAAGGTTGGATATGTCTTTTCCCCTGAAGAGGCTGATACAACATTTTTAGAATATCATTTCTCTTCAGCAGAATAGGAACAAGCTGAGGACAACACTACTGTGTGGGAGGCCCAGAATAGAAAGACTTCCAGGTTTTTGAGGAAAGTTGTTTCCCTCAGTGACCACAGTTATTTTGTGTAGTTGCAGTGATACTTTTAAGATTATGTAAAACCTTATACTAGACAGGCAAAAGAGAGAAAAGATCTACTCTGAAGAGGGAAAACCTCACAAAAGCATGTCAGATATAGTACAAAAGTGTTCATTAAAACTGACTATAATGGGGGCTGGGGAAATAGCTCAGTAAATAAGCACTTGCCTGGCAAGTGCGAGGGCCTGAGTTCAATCTCTGGTTCTGCCAAACAAAAACTGACTATAACAACAAAAAGCTGGAGACAACACAGTTGGGACTGGTTATAGTCCATTGATCTGAAATGTGCATATTTACTTTAATGTTTTACTTTTACAAAATTTTTCTCTGCTATAATAAGCCAATCTTCTGTGACTTGATTATGTTGTTGTAACCACTATTAAGTTTTGGTTTATTTCTTAAAATTTAAGTTTGTTTTCCATTTAATGCAGCAGCTGTCATAAGGGATAGTTATAGACATTAGATAGCAAACTATAATAAGTAAAGTGGCAGAATCAAAGTGGCCTGTACAGCCATGGGAACAGATAAATGCTCAGAGGGACTCATTGGATACAACTATACTAATATGGTAGTGGTATTTGATTATGGATTTTGTCTTCATTTTCTGTGTTATGCTTTTTGACATGAACCAGTAATGAGATAGTCTCAAAAACCCTTAAGTGTAAAGTAAATAAAATGTTATGTTTAGTGAATAGAATCAGGCCTACACAGATGTTTTCTCTAAATTCTTGCTATTTACACTGCGATTCTTAGACCAGCAACATTAGCAGCATTTGAATAGTTTATCAGCAGTACAAGCTCCAACCTGGACCAACTAAATAAGCAAATTAGTTTGACAAAATCCCCTCATTCTCACTAAACCTTGAAAGCACAGTGGTGTGTCCACTCCTTGGAAGACTGAGACTTGAGGATCATGGCCGGTACACACAGTGAGCCTCTGGCTCAAAAACAAACAAATAAACAAACAAAAAAAAGAGTGTGAAACACATTACTCTATCTGATTGACTTTTTCATTTTTGGAAGAACAAAGTTTGATAATAGCCTAATCAGTATATCAGAAATCTAAAGTTAAGGTGGTTATAGGAATTGTTGATTGTAACATTAGCAAATGGAAATAGAATAAAATTTAAAAAGTTTTCTGACACTGTGAACGCTGAGAGTCATTTTGGTGTGCCAAGCACAGGCTGCGGGGACCCAAGCTTCATATGAATTATCAGGACTGCACCTGCTCTACAGGTTATGAAGGAGCTATACGGTTTCTTCACAGATCTTTGCTGTTTCTGTCATACCGTGTCCCTCTTTGATTGTAAATTCATTTTCTTTCTACTTTACATGAGATAGATTGCCCTTGTTGTGTGTTTGAGAGAAAGAGCTAGCTTCTTGCACAGTTCTATTATATTTCATTAAAATATAAATTGTCTTCTCATAATGTATAAGGCGTAAACTCTAGCACCCAATCTGTGGATTTCTTTTTAGTTGCAAGTTATTATGTGAGGATCCTTGTAAAACTCATCTAAAACTAATTTTTCTTTTAAATGTCCAAGTAAGAGAGATTGATTAATTTTAAGAGAGATTAATTCATTTCCCAATAAAATTAAGAGATGCTGCTCCCTGAAAGTCTTTGTTAGGTAGCTGTAGATCTGAGTAGGGGAAGTTTACATGATTAGAAACTAGAATAATTGATTTAAAAAATTAAAATATAAAAGAGATGCACAATGGGAAAGAAAATATCCTACAGCTCTGTTATTCAGGAAAATCTGATTTTAGAGGCATATTACAATTCATGAACACTTCTCAATTATTGTTTCTTTCTCTCTCTTCAGTATCACTAAAATATTATATTGAATATCTGTACTTTCAATATTTTGAAGCTTAAAAAGCCTCAATATTTTGAAAGCAGTGATTTTCATGTTTCTATGACACCTCAGAAGTTAATGTGGCTCCATTTTTTTCTTTTGTAGCATGAGGTCTTTTTTTCCAATGTTTTACATGGTGTCCTTAGTGAAGATCATGCCCTGATATCTAGAGCTGTATCCATGAAGGTGGAGAATTTCACAGAAACAAGTGAAATCAATGAACTCTTTGACGTATTTACTTACAACAAGGTAAAAGTAGTGATATATTTCCTTTATTCTGTACTCCGGAGAGTTGCATAAAACGGGTTCTAAGGATTGTGGATCAATATGCAATTTAAAATTTGTATTACAAATACCTTTATTCTATTGAGTGAATGAATTTAAGAAAGTGTGGTAAAATCAGTTCTGAGTTGCAAGTATTAATCAAATCCATATTAGATGCTGGGCACAATCTGTGATGAATAAATTTAAATAATTTCCTATCTTAATGACACAACCTTCTGTTTGATAGAAATTTACTCTTGCAAATAAATACCTCAATTTAAAATATTTTGTGTATTCCTTGATCTCTTTATATGTAGGACATTTGCTCACTTCGTACCTATTAATGACAATACAGTATTTCATTAGTATGGGAATAATTCAAACATTCAATTAAAGTGCATTTTCTGGTCAAGAGCACAGCTCAGAATAATATATATATATATATATATATATATATATATATATATTTGTTTTGTTTTGTTTTTTGTTTTTTGTTTTTTTTGTTCAAGTAATGAATGGCTTCTTATGTCCTAGGGAGCGTCTATAGCACGGATGCTTTTCAGTTTCCTGAATGAGGACCTGTTTATCAGTGCTCTTAAGGTGAGTTCACAAAATCATTTCCAGAGTGGCAGTGAACACAAATTGCTCTGGGATGCTGGATACTATTTTTTTTTTAATTTTTACTTCTCTATTTTTACAGTCTTATTTGGAGGCATTTTCTTACTCAAATGCTGAGCAAGATGATCTATGGAGGCATTTTCAAATGGTAATTGTCCTTCCTAAATTCACACATGTTCTTGTGAAGTTATTTCATCTGGTACAGTGCAAGATTAGGTCATTGTTTTTTTGTGAAACTCTCCTAGCGCCAGGACTGCATCTTTCTTTTCATTGTATTTCTATACCTAGAACAGCATCTGTCACAAATGAGAAACATAAATGTGTGCTCCGTGAATGAATGAATGAATGAATGAATGAATGAATGAATGAATCATTCATATAGGTCAGTTCTCCATGTCTGTGGTTTCACACTTGTGGATTCAATCAAGTCCAGACGGACAGTATTAGGAGAAGAACTACATCTGTACTGAACACGTACAGACCTATTTATTGTTATTATTTCCTAAACAACACAGTACAACAACCACCGTATTTATATAGCATTCATAAGACCATAAATAATTTGCAAATGATATACAGGGTATAGGAAAATGCACATAGTTTACATGTAAATACTATTTCATTTTGTACAGGGACATGAGCACCTGTGGATTTTGCTATCTGTGAGAGTCCTGGAACTAATTTCCTTTCAGATACCAAAGAAAAACATAATTTTCTGTTGTCTCTATCCAAAGATAAGCAGAATTCTGAATTTGTTCCAGAACATCAACCATTTGGAATTACTACAGTGTATATAAATCAGTGAAGAATTGCTGTTCTTTAGGAGATTGATACTTCCATGCATGCTGATAACTGTACATGTTTTTTGTGGTGATTTTTTTAAATCAGGCTATCGATGACCAGAGTAAAATTCTTTTGCCAGCAACAATAAAAAGTATAATGGACAGTTGGACACACCAGGGAGGCTTTCCAGTCATCACTTTGAATGTGTCCACTGGTGTCATGAAACAGGAGCCATTCTATCTAGGAAAAGTTGAAAACCAGACTCTTCTCACTCACAAGTAGGTAGCTTTGCTTTGTCCTTGCCTTCCTTGGGTTTGAGCTCTGATGTGATGGGAAACATGAGGCTGCGTAGCACTCAATGGGACACAGCCCCCAGCATAGTGACATCCTGTAGGGATGCCCCTGTGTGCTGGAGAGAGGCAGAGCCCGAGTCCTGAGCTGCACAAGACACCTGCAGTTAAACACTCAAGGTGTCACCTCCCCAGTCAGGGGTCAGAGCCACATCTGTGACCAAACCTTTGTGATTACCTACCTTCCTTGTTGCTCTTTCACACAGAGGTGACAAACTGCTCAGGACTCTGGATGAGAGACAATAAGATAGTGACACCAGTGGCCACATGTTAGTTAAGAGAAAAAGGTATCCTATTGAAAAATAGCTTTTCGCCTGGAATCAGACATGAATATAACTATATCCTTGAAGAATTGCTCTATATGTGTGTGTGCATGTTGTGTCTTCTGCTATGAGTGTATTAAAAATAAAATCATGCTGCAATAATAGAATATCTTCAGATATAGTTAGGCCTATGCCCAAGGACTAACTTCACATAAGTTTAAACTTTAGATACATCTTATTTTATTTATTATTTTTTAATCTTTTATTTATTTTTGTATTTGGTACAGGGTCTCGCTATGCAGCTCAGACTAGTAGAGATCCTCCTGTCTCAGCCTCCCTGGTGCTGGCATTACAGGCATGCACCACCACGCCCTGTTTCGGTGGACAATCGGGTGCAGGGGCCAGTATGGCATGTGGTACCGGTGATCGAACTCAGGTTCTTGCATCCTTGCACTTGCCAGGCAGGTGCTTAGACCTCCAAGCTATCTTCCCCGCCCAGATAAATCTTATTCTAACTTTCTTACTTTTAGTTGCTTAATCTGTACAATAAATGTAGTAAATGTTGCTTAATCTATAAAATGAAATGTAAAAAACAAATGAGTGGTAACCTAGCCTTCATCACTCTCTCCTTTCCCTTCTTTTCTTAATTTGTTAGATAATTTAAAACTGTCTTTGATAGCTTTGATTCTCACATCTCATTATAGTAGGTCACAGTACAAGTGAATAATTAATTTTCAAATACCATCAACAAAACGATAGATTCTGGTAGTTCTACACCTTCTTCAAAACACCAGGGGAGAGAAACAAGAGACCTAAGGTCTTCCTCACTATGAGGGGCTGTGAGTTTTTGAGAAGAGGGACTTTTAGCTGTCAGAGATATATAGACCTGCAGTTGAAAGTCTGAGGAGGTGGGCATGTGAGAATTTGAAGAAGAGTGGAGTATCGTCCAAGCTAACAGTGTGCATCTCTTTGATAACTAACATGCTTCATGCAGACCACGTCCTCTAATGCAGGGAGAGTGCAGGCATTCAGTAAATAGCAATATCTGGTGGGTTTTTGGTGAACACATTGCAGGTTTGGAAAAAGCTTGTAGCTGAAAAGTCTTTTGAAATGTTTGTCAGGCCTTCTCCTCAGTTACCTCTTTCTTTTCTGGGCAGGCACAGGTTTGGGCCTGTCTGTGGTATGTATCTGAGTACTCTTGAGGCAGGACAGGTGGATGATTTGGGGAAAGTAAGGCCTGAAAGTTTCAGAGACAAGACAGTCTTAGTAGTTACTTATGCTGTGAAAAATAAATCCACAGGACACAACAAGGAGGGGGGAGCAACTGGCCACAGCAAAACAGCAGCCAACAGTTCTGAGAACAAAGTCCTATACATCGAGGGAAAGAATGACGAAGCTGAAGAAACTGAGCTGTGTCTACTACTTTACCATCTCTTTAATATTAAGTTACAGTGATAGATTGTTTTTTGACAGCAAAATATAAATACACTTTGGATTTTGTTAGTTCTATCAGTTCATGTTTGAGTACACAGTGTTTACATTTCCTGTGCAGAGCTGATCCATGTATCAACATCTTGACACTTTCTTCACGGCCTTTCCTTCCCCTGCCCTCCCCGTCTCTTGATCTCCTTCCCATTTGAGAAAGAGCCATTGCTCTACTTCCTAGTACCTACCGTTTATTTGCTCTTTATTTATAATTGGCTTTCTCAGGCAAGAGGAGTGATACCCTGTTTAAACTTGTGTGTCTGATTTATTTCACTTCACATTACGTTCTCATGGTGCATCCATTTTCCTACAAATGACTCAAGCCCTTTTTTTATAGCAGAGAAGTGCTCTGTTGTGTGTAAATTCTGAAGTGTGAAAATTAACTAATTTTTTTCTTTCAAAAAGTGGCACATGGATCGTCCCTATTCTTTGGATGAAAAATGGAACTGTACAACCTTTAGTCTGGCTAAATAAAAGCAGTAGTAAGTAATAAGTTTTAAAAAGCACCTTTACATATACATATATATAAAGACAGAGAACATAATCCTAAGATAGCTAACTTTTGAAAAGCTATCCTATTTTAAAATGAAGTATATTTTTTGCAATGAACATAGAGTTTCAAAGAAAATTTTCATGGGTGTTTCATTAAAAAAGAAAAAAAAGTTTTCAAATTATAAGTCATTACACATGAAAAATATAATTGTATGGTAAAACAAATATGTAATAGGGAATTTATTTAATTTTTATTAGGTTCATTGTTTAGAATTAAGAGTAAGTTATATTTTAAAAATTAGGATATTTAAAAAAATATGAAACAAAGAGTATTTTTGAGGAGCAAGAATGTTCAAAAATAGAACATGTTCAAACTTTTCCTATACCACTTCAAACTTTTCCTATTTTTTTTTTTGTAGAAGTATTCCCTGAAATGCAAGTTTCAGATTCTGATCATGACTGGGTAATATTAAATTTGAATATGACTGGATATTATAGAGTTAATTATGATAAATTAGGTTGGAAGAAATTAAATCAACAGCTTGAAAGGGATCCTAAGGTAAATTATCTTTTATTTTTGAAATGATTATTCTGAATATGCTGTCTACTTTTTCTAAATGTTTATGTTTATTAGTACCTGCTCTCTGTTCCTTTAGAAGGCAAGATTTCTTGTTGGAAGAGATCCTGGCCCTACTCCCACTCTTCCTTCCCAGCCATACTGGAGAGGTTTTATTCTGACTTTTAGAAAGGGGTGATTTTGGTGGAATGTGTTGTATTTTTGAACATTCTTGCTCCTCAAAAATATTCTTTGTTTCATATAGGATTCAGAATACACTTTCCACTTAATCAGTTATTTTGCAAGCTTTGGCAAGTTACTTAATTGTTCTATTTCCATTTCTTCACTTTAAGATGGGAATATTATCATTTCATATTTACCCATGAGCATTAGAGAGGATGCAGTTAAAATATGCTCAAAATTTCTAAGTCCATAGTGGATACTGTAGTATCCATATATACTTATAATATGTATGCTACAAAATATTAATTTTATTTCTAAAAACATATTCCCATTCTCCCTCAGAGGAGATAATTTAATTCACAAAACATCAATAATAGTATAATATCACTTTAAATTATAAAACAACTGCTATGTATGGTGGTGCACTCCTGTAATCCCATAACTCTGGAAGCCAAGGTAAGAGGATCACCACGTGTTCAAGGCCAGTCTGAGCTACATAAGAGAGTTCAAAGTCAGCCTGAAATACATAATAAGACCCTTCTCAAAAAATAAAAACAATTATGAAAAAACTATATTGGGCCGGGAAGATGGCTTAGTGGAATAAGCGCTTCCTTGGCAAGTACAAGGGCCTGAGTTCAATCCCCAGTTCCACAAAAAAAAAAAAAAAAAGAAAGAAAGAAAAAGAAAGAAAGAAAGAAAGAAAGAAAGAAAAGAAAAAAGAAAAGAAAAGAAAAAACTATAAATTCTTATGAAGTCTATAAATATTAAAGTGTTGGGTATCTCAGACTAATCAGCTTTTTTTTATGAGCAGAATATATTTACTGAGAGAAAGAAAGCTCCTCTCCAAGAGAGGGACAGGAGAGGGGCCCGAGTGGGTAGTTCCCCCAAATTTAATTTTTTTTATTTTTATTTTATTTATTTATTTATTTATTTATTTTTTGCAGACTGGGGATTGAACTCGGGCCCTTGCGCTTGCCAGGCAAGCGCTTATTCTACTGAGCTATCTTCCTTGGCCCCTAATCAGATTTTAATACATTGAATTAAACCAAATCTCCATGGTAGAGGATACTGGTGAGAAGTCTATCCAGTTGGCTGTGCTCTGATTTGCTGTGAATATTTGGACAGGTCATTTAGACTCCGTTCATAAAACTAGGATGCTTGAACTAAAAGAGCTTCAGTAGCTCTCTGCAAATTCTTTGAAACACACGGCAGCCTCTGTAGCAGAGCAAACCCTGCAGCGATTGCTCCAGAGCCTGGGTTGTGCTCATGCTTTTGTGCATCATTTATCAAAAGTGTGATCTTGGGCCTCTTAATTGGCTGACACCTCAGCTTTTCTCATCTGTATAATGAATGTAAGGGACCAACTGTGAAGCGCTGCTGTGAAGACAAAATTAGATAATGCGTGTGTGGTGCTTCACAGGCAGACAATGCAGGCACTGGCATTCAGCAGTAATTTAAAAAAAAAGTGATTGAGAGTTTCAGTAAAGCTACTAAATCTCCTTATAATAATATATTTGTTTAAAACCTTTTTCAGAGTGGCTAAATTCTTAGGAGTTTCTAAGACTAAGCCACAAAAGTACTAGGTTAGGCCACTATAATAATAATTCCTTGAAATGGTGTAGATTTTTTAAATAAAAAACTGAGTTACATTTTTTCTAAAACATGATTGGTGAGGAAGTAAAATGGACTTCATATTCATAATATTAATCTAGAAAATGCAGTATTACTGCTACAAAAGAAATAGGTCTCCTACCAAGGGACGAATTAAGCTTGGCTTACCTAGGTGCCCGGAGGAATGTTGTGAAAATAAAATTTCTAGGACCAAAGATAGCAAAGCGCCAGGAGACTTAGAACGAGCAGCACAGGAGGCTTCCATGCGCAGGGAGAGCCACAGCTGAGATGAGGCCTGTGGACTGGTGTCCCGAGGGATTTAGACAGAGGCCACCAGTGTTGGGCTTGCCTTTGCGTGCATGAAGAAGGCCCTGTCAGTGGGACTGTCCCATAGCAAGAAAGTCTTGAGCAGACACATGCCATTCAAAAGATTACCACAATATTACCAAAATAGTGATAAATAATATTTATTTAAAACATCCTAGGTCAAAAACTCCTCTGACAATAATCCGGACACAGAAATACAGTGTAATGTATACTTTTTGGCTTGGAGAGATCTTTTCATTTTGGTTACCTGTTTTATTTCTTAGCATCATGTATTTTAGGGAGCCTTCTGCTAAAATTCTATGTCACGTTTGAGCATTATTATTGATGTCCAGTGGAATCATTTATCAAAAAAGATATATACTGAATCAATTATGGGAACTGTTTCTAGTAATTACCATTTCTCTGCAAAGGAGGCGCTTCACATGAAAGTGCTCTGAAGGCAGCAATGATCTTTAAACTGTTTTGAAACTATTTCACTAAAACATGTCCTCACCTTTTCCTGCAACTGCTTGGGTCTCCTGCAGGCCATTCCTGTTATCCACAGACTACAGCTGATTGATGATGCCTTTGCCTTATCTAGGTGAGCGTGTTCTCTTTCCTTGTGGTTTTAGACTATACCTGGAGAATTTCACAAAAATAATATCTTTACTACTATGAATTTGGTTCTTTCATACACACAGGCCTTAGGTGACTGAAATTATGATCCAATTCTATGGGCACAGTAGAATTTTATAATGTAAGATTTTCTGGAAATAGACTGTCACTTCAGAATTTTTGGTGGTAGTAGGTATAATTTTAATGATCATGTTATTACAGATACTATATATATATATATATATATATATATATATATATTAGATTTGTTCAGTATAAACTATGTGCTAAAATATTTAACCAGGTAAATTAATATGCTTGTGATTTAAGTTTTCAAACAATAAAGTTAAGGAGCATATATAATAAATTACTATGTATTCTCTCTTCCTTTGGCCTGTCATATTTCTCAGAACATGTCACATACATGCTGCCTTTTCCCTCTGTGACCTGTAGCAGTTCCCTTGTTCAATACTTTGTTGAAATTCCTCTCTATGGACCACATGACACTGGTATTGTAAACTACTTCCTTCTGAAAATGTCCTTTTTGACTTCTTGAGACTCCAGTATACAAACCCTGTTCTCCTCATGTATTTGACTTCTTTTCTTCTTATTAATTTGAGCACTTTTAAGACCAACAACAACTGTGTTACTTTCTTCTATTCTTTAAATAACTTTATTCTTATTATTTCAGTGACCATGTTATTACATATATGTACAGTGCTTGGCACATATAAGATCTCTAAATATTCTAATCAATGCCTCCAGGCCAGTACCTTTCTGCTCTTGTCTTATGTTTATCCTATAGTCATTTAAAATCAGCATCTAAATTCTGAGTTTTATTTTGGTCTCTAAATTGCTCTTGTTGTCAGTTTCTTTCTGTATCTCAGGCATACCACCGTACTTTCCATCACTCAACTTCAAACCTCAGTAACGTTGCTGTCTACATCTCTCGAGCTCAGAAAGTAGCCTTTTGATTCTGACCTTACTACCTGCACTGCTTTCATGCTATGCCAAATTTTCTTCATCTTTTTCCTGGCCTGTTGTATTAGACAGCACCCTTTCTCCTTTTAAATTTCTATTGTCTTCTTTAGCATTGTGGGGGAAAAAATTAAGCATCAACTACATTATGTTATCTAATGTACCTTCCCACCAAACCTAGACTATTCACTCTGATATTCATAGAGCTCAGTGGGCTTAAACTGTGCTGCCTTTTAGCCTCCACCTCTTATCAGACCCTCCCTGCCTTAATTGGATCAGTATTCCCAGCATCCAAATTCCTGCTTCTCCTCTTTGTCCTGGGTCGCCATCCTTTTTGTACCATTTTAATCCATCTTTCAGTCTTCTGGAGTTCCTCTTCCTTAAGGTCTTTCCTGACTTTACCCTCTTTCCCTTGTCCTTTCCAGGTGTTTGTTTTCCTTCTTTGCTGCTTTTGTAGTATTCATTGCCTTTGGTGGAACTTTCATGAATGGCTTCTCATGCTAAGTCTCAGTTCCTTACTAAGGCTCCTAAAGGCAGGCAAATGTGCTCGTATGTGTACTCCCCAGCAGTTAACAACAATTAGAAAATGGTCTTTAATTAATACTTGTTGAACAGAAGTTATACTCTCATAAGAATACTTATCAAATACACAAGATTCTATTCTTCAAGAATCAGCCCAGCATTTGGACTGGATTTCCTATGGCTTCTAATTGGACACTTACTTGAACAGACCAAACTGGAATGGGAAGTCTGGTGACGTTTCTTGGGTTCCACCTTATCAATGAGATGAGGCCTTCACCTTCTCGCTTCTTGATTTCACTTACCATATTGAGTCAGGCATTGAAACACAGAACAAATATAAAAGAAAGTACAAAGCATTTAGTAGGTGAAGGTGTTTTGAGCATATTTTCTTTTAAACCAAACAGAAACAATTATATTGACATTGAAACAGCACTTGATTTAACCAAATACCTTGCTGAAGAAGATGAAATAATAGTATGGCATGAAGTCTTGGCAAACTTGCTAACCAGGGATCTTTATTCTGATGTGAAAAACTATGATATCTATCCATTATTAAAGGTAATTTCATGCTTTGTTATGTAGTTTTAAATAATCTATTCTTCTTTCCATCTGGCAATCTGGGAATGAGATCCTTCATAAAATAGTAGACCACTCACTCCACACATGTATTCATTTTATTAGCAATAGTTACTTACAGTTAGAAGGTAATACCTTACCATTGACCTGGTCTAGGAGATGAGGGTGAGAGAAATTGGACTAGTATTTCATACTTGGTGAAGAAACAGTGTATCCTAAGAATTCAGAAATAATTGAAATCATATCCTTCTGCTATAGAAAAGTAGAGTGTCCAATAGAAACTATTTCCCTAAGAGATTGCTAGTTAAATAGGATGTTTTTAAAATAACTCTTGTTCATAATTGAAATATCTGATCTGCAGGGATAGCATGTAAAACCAGTGGGGTATATTATAGAAAAGGTGGAAGTTTCGAAGCTGCTTTTGACATTAGGAAGAGAGGGAGGGAGATCAGAATAAATGAATGAAGAAATTACATGATATCAAACATGAGAGAATATAAAAAAGAAGTTCCACTACTAGATCTTAAACAGTAACACTAAGAAAGATAGCATGAGATTAATGAAAATAAAATTTAGGGAACAATTCTTTTGAACAGTTAGCAGCCCCAAGCAAAATAAAAAGTGTTAGGTGGACTTACAAATGAGTTTCTAAGATTTCTGGGGGTTTTATCACCAGCCTCAGGTTCTAGATGTTATTTTTTTCTAGTATCCAAAGTACTATTGGAAACTTCACTGGGTATAAGAATGGTGATCAATAGAAAAAGTTTTACAAACAAAAAGCAAAGCATAATATTTATCTTTAAATTAATTCAATGAGTAGCATTTAATTTGTTTTTGGAGTATATTAGTATGTCTAACTTCTAGAATTTTATATTTACTGGACGATAGCTCAGTTGGAAAAATTTTACTTCAGACTTAGAATTCAATTTGTCTACAGCAGTGATAGCAAACCTTTACAGACGAGTACCCAAGCTACAACCAGAACCCCTTTATTTATCACGAAGTGGCAACATTTCAATTAAATCCAAATACTGAGGTTTTAGTTTAGAAAAACCACTCAGATATTAACATGTTTTGTCTTAAAATAAAAATAAGTATCACCCATGCCATAGATTCTCTACCACTGGTCTACAGCATAAGTCCATTACTGCATTTGGAAATATATATACTTATGACAGTTTTAAGGTAAAAGGATGTTTTATACTATTATGTATTTCCTTTACATTGGATATTCCTGGGCTAATTTTTTTTTTTTTTACATTTTATGTATTTGGCACAAGGTCTCATTATGCAGGTCTGACTTATAGTGATCCTCCTGTCTCAGCTTCCCTAGACCCGGGATTACAGGTGTGCACTACCACATCTGGTTTCAGTGGCTGGTTTGACATGCTTGGGACAAGGCCAGTGTGACTTGTAGTGCCACGGATCAAACCCAGGTCCCTGTGCTTGCCAGGCAAGCACTTAGATGGCTGAGCTACCTCCATGGCCCTGGGCTAATATTTAATGATAGTAGTAATTCATATTTATTGAGTTCTTACTGTTAAGCAGTGTGCTTATAGGCATTATATTACTTAATCTTTATAGCAACACCATAACATTGGTATACTATATATCACATTTTATGTATAAGGGAACTGAATCTAGAGAAGTTTAAAAAATGCAACAGTTGCACATTTAATAACAAAGAAAAATAATTTTTGGAAAGGTATATAACTTTTCCATTAATTTCTTTACAAATAAATAGAAAACAGTGAAAATTCAGTTTTGTGAGTCAAAGCTAATAGTGTATTTTCTTTGTGATTCATAGAAGTATCTATTAAAGAGACTAAACTCAGTATGGAACGTTTATGCAAGTATAATTCGTGAAAATGTGGGAGCACTTCAAGATGACTACCTAGCTCTGTAAGTACTCTTAAGCAGCAATAGCTGAACAAAATGATTCATACTAATAGGTGGGCTTTCGGATTCATAAAATATAATCTTAGTGTCTATTATTTACTAAAACATTTTGTGCGCTACTTGAGAATAATAGCTCTGAGACTGGTGTGTCCTCACAGGCAATAATAACTTGAGATCTTAACTTTACCTGCAAGGCACATGCTTGTACTCAGTTTATTGTGCCAAATTTTTAGAAGTCAGGCTACTGGTTGAAGTTGTAATTAAGTCCTAATGGTGATAGGTCGTGCTAAGTAAAACTACTCTATACTAGTAAGGTGAGCAATGTGGGAGAGTCACATGGAGAAATGTTCCCTCTGTGCTATTGCTGACAAGAGTTCTACCAGGATACATGTCTGATGAGGTAGGCAGGTGTGGGGATAAAGACTTTTAGCACTTTCAGAGGCTGAGGTGAAAAGATAGCAAGTTCAAGTTTGGCTTAGGACTGCTTAATCACTTAAGGAGACCCTGTTTCAAGGAAAAGGCAGAGGAAGCTAGGAATATACTTCTGTGGGAAGCCCCGAGTGAAACCCTAGTACCACAGAGTTTGTAGCAGGGGGCTAAGGTAGTTTGTCAGTGATGCATATCTGTGGCTTTCATATGGCTGCAATTACGTATTGCAAATTGTCTTCTGTGGTGACTAAACATATTGCTATGATGGTCTGGGCAGCAGTGAAAGACGGCATAGGACTATGGTCCTTCTGTCCTCCCTGTAACCTGAGGTTTGTAGGTGAAGGATGGACCTCCAGATTTAGGAAGGGCATTTGTGGCCAAAAATAGTATAGGTATTACAGCTGCAACTTCTAGTCAACTCTAAGCTCAAATAATTAGATCAATCAAGAAATACAAAATAAACAAAATGTGATTGTTCTCCCATAATAGCACGATTCTGAGAAGACAGAAATTTTTATTAACAGGACTGACATGGAATGGAATGGACCAGTAGGTAGAAGACAATGAGGACTTGTCTCGGATAGAGTGGGGGGTACAGGCAAATTGTGGAAAAGGAAGAAAGGAAAAATTGTGCTCAGTCAGGCAGTACATCTGTGAACTGGACATATCACTGGCTCTCCTACACTGTACTGGAGGTGTATTTTCTGTGGCATCCTGGGGCCAGTTCTTTTGAGCACAGACTATGTTTCCATTGAACTCCATCTTGTGGGAGCCAGTTTGGAGTTGGGTTGGGAGGAAGAGGGAGTGGGTGTGTGAATGGATGCCTGGAACTGTCTCTCAGAGCACCTCCACCCTTGGAAATACCAAGTATGTTTATCAGAAGGTCAGGTTCAGCTAAATGGAAACAGAAGAGTGAAGCAACAGAGATTAAGCTTTTCTCTTTTCTGAAAATTTATGACCAGCTTCACTTCCTTACTTAGACCCTAAAGAGAGGAAGTAAAATACACTATAAATCATTGTTTGTCTGTGTTTAATGCTACTTTTTACTGTATTTTGTCAAATTTATTTGTTTTGAACCACAGCATATACCCCTCTCAACGATGAAAATAAACCAAACAAAACGAAACGCTCCATGGTTTTCCAAGGCATGTATGTAATAAGAGAAGTAAAAAAAGAAAGAAATGCTTAATCAAGGAAAAGCAAATCGTAGAAAGACAGAAATACACTGTTTTCTTACATAGAGAAAGGATTTTATTTTAAAATGTATCAGACCAGATGCTCTAAAGACATTTTTTTTTTCAAATTTGTAAGGCAATTATTGCAGCAGGGAGGAGAGTAAATTGACCACAGATGTGGAGCGAGTGTACATCCATGTGTGCCTGAGGGAGATGAAAGAGGGCAGTAATTCATTTCTAACTTTTAAAATATACTAGTCTTAGGAGCTTTGCTTGGTGCCTGAGAACTCCTCAGCAAATGTTTCTCTGAGTGTTAAATAGATTGGTTATCTTCAAGAGCTATTTCTTTTAAAATAAACCTGATATGGGAAAAAATATTTGAAAATACTCATCCTTTCATGAAATACACATGCTTGGAAGCAGAGGAAGTGGACATGATAATGCAAAATGAAATGTTTTTCATTGTCTTTCCCTCCAAGAATATCACTGGAAAGACTTTTTGCAACTGCGTGTGGGTTTGATCTTGAAGACTGTTTTCAGCTGTCAAGAGAACTCTTCAGAAAATGGATGAACCATCCAGAGAATGAGTAAGAGCAATGTTCTAACCTCCCTTGTTTGGGGCCTAGTAGCATGAGCAATTTCTCTTTTTTCAGTTACACAATGAGAATAGCCACTTTTATTTCAACTAGTTAATCTCTATCTTTTATTTCTTTTTAAACATCTCTTTGAAAGATCATTATCTATGGGTCTGTGCATAACAGTATGAGATTAGAATTCACACAGTGAATTGTCATGAGTGATTATTCATTGCCAATGTGGTCTCTCAATAGACACACTGACCTCTACACTTGCTTGTAGTCTTCATGTTTTTTATTACTGTTTATTAATGTTATATGTATGAACATATCAGAAGAGTATCTATTTCTCTGCTTTTTTTTCTCTGAATTTGCAGTCTCACTGAGAGGGGAGACTATGCTCCTATCGTTTTGGCTTTACTTCTAATATAACACCTGGGAAGAAATAATGAGGTTACACTGAATTATTCTGACTCACTTCTTTCTGAAAACTTAGTTTCTAAGTTAACTGGATGATCTCTTCTTAAGGTACTAATGATAATAAAGTTCTCACAATTTCATTTGTAGATCTTTGCTCTTGATTTTTATACCTGAGATCTCAATCTTTTTCTAGATTTATACTTCTAAACATATGACAACCTTGACACTTAACTACTAAAACAAATATCACTGCATGTTGTATCTTACAGAATACCTTATCCAATTAAGAATGTAGTTTTGTGTTATGGCATTGCCTTGGGAAGTGATAAAGAATGGGACTTTCTGTTAAACATCTACACTGATACAGCAGAAGAAGAGGAAAAAATTAAACTTGCTTATGCATTGAGTTGCAGTAGAGACCCGTGGATACTTAGCAGGTAATTATGGTCAACTTAATTTGAAAGTTACTGGAAGAAGAATATAATTTATATACCAAAGGCAGAAAAGTAGGAACATGCTAATAGAATGAAAACAAATGCGTATTTGTGCATTACTATCTTAGAACCAGATTTTATTTCATGTGTTTAACTCTGTGTTGGATTCTTAAAACTTCCTTTTCGCAAATGCGCTTTTGCAGATACATGGACTATGCCATCACTGGATCTCCGTTCACTTTTAATGAAACAAACGTAATAGAAGCTGTTGCAGCATCTGAAGTTGGCCGGTATATTGCAAAGGAATTTTTAGTCAACAACTGGCAAGCTGTGAAGAAAAGGTAAGGACGCTGAGATCTCTATTTCATTTAGATCACTAACTTTTTGATAAAAATCCAGCTGCACTCTGGCTAGGTCACAATAGTCCTTTGCACTGACTAGAAAGTTATAATACTTCCTGTATTTTGTCTCATTACCAACTAGGAAGAGATTGCTTACCCACAATTCTGGTGTATTCCTTTAGCACACTCACATACCTCAGTTTTATCATCATGAGGTTTGTCTTAATTGGCACACAGCTGAGCAAGCCACGTTTTCTGGTGTGAGTGCACACCATCCGTTCATTTCATTCACTGACATCACTGCCCTTTAAAGAGATAATACTGGTACCTGGTCTAGATGTTGCTAATGCCTTTAGCTTTTGGCAGATCCCCTTTATATATCTAAATTTTTGTGCTATCTGTGAATATAATCCTATACACCTGTGCTTTTAACAATTTCTTTTATCTTTTAAGATTAATTTGGCTTTCTTCCTAGCTCCTCTGTTTAGTAAAATGTATATTAGCATGTAAAAAAGACAGCATGGCTTTGATGTCTGTCTTTCTAGATGATTACTTCACCATGCATTCTTTAAATCCTAGAATTAATGTGTGCAAAAAGTAGCTTTAGGGGACTGGGGAGGTAGCTTGGCATTCTAAGTGCCTGCCTGGCAAGTACAAGGACCCAGGTTCAATCGCCAGTACCAGTACCAGCACCAATACTGCGTGCCCTGCTGGTCACACTGTGCTGGCCACCAAAACCAGGTGTGATGGTGCACACCTGTAATCCCAGTGCTGGGGAAACTGAGACAGGATGATCACTATGAGTCCGAGCTGCATAGCAAATCACTATACCAAATAAATTTTATTTTATTTATACCAAATAAAACAAGTAGATTTAGCAGATACTACTGTAGATTTAGTGGACACAAAGTACTCAACAGTTATGCTCAAAGCATATGAGGAGCTGAAAGATACTTTTTATAAATGAGTTCATCCTTTTAGAATAATAAATATAATTAGGGTATAAATAAGAATACAGACTTGATTTTCTTAAGAGTAAATTAATTGGAGACCTAGTCCTAGCACAGGTCCGGTGAGTGTGTGGAGAGCTTCCTGCTACCCTGCGCCAGCGGGACAAGTCCCAGCCCAGGCGCAGCATGGGTCGGACCCTCTCCCACCCCCTTGGGCCGCCCCCCACCACACCGCAGCACCTCTCCCACCCCTACACCGAGTAGGAATTTCTG